TTTTATATATATATTTATTTCATATGTTGCGTTTCATCTCATTCTTCAGTGTGGGAGTCCGGTTAAATGGTATATTATATTATGTGGAAACAAAATTTATTCGTGTAAAGACACTTTAAATGTCCTAAAAATAAAAGCATAAAAACCGCACAATTACTTCGTTTTTGACAACGGAACGCGGCAAAGAGGGCCGAAGGACACCTATTTATTGCATGTAATGTTCTGCATTTAATCTTGAAGCAGAGAATAAAATCCGGTAGCAAGTCATAGATTGCAGGCGTCCTGCATGACAATGTGTCCCTTTGTCTACGCCGCGATCACTGGCTTCGTGGAACATGCGAACATCGAATATCAACGTAACTATAGATCTACGGATAAGGCTGTATATTTTGGCGGTTTCAAGGTTATGGTGTTGCTAGGCGCTACTTATTTATGGGAAGTTTAAGAAAATATATTATTATTTATCGATGAAAGATTTTTATTATAATTTATTTATGATAACGAAGATCAGACAAGTAGGTATGGGATTACATTTTAGAATAGATATACTTTTGGAATAGTAAACATCCAACTTGCTTCGGATTGTTTTAATTTGGAGAAAAATTAATTCATGTGTATTTTACTTCCAAACACACTACAATAAGCCTTTGGTACCTCACATCATTTTGGGAGGCTTTATTCAGAAAGTATTTCTATAAAAAATCAACTATGCCCTAAGAAGTGTGTCTCTTGTTGTATCTTAAAGTGTGTTCATGAAAAGCTCAATTTATTTAAAGTAAAAGCCAATTCACATCATCTGTGGAAGATTATCAAATTTTTTGACATTATTTGAGATTATTCAAGATAGTAACTAAACCTTGAAATGAAAGATCAGAATAAAACTTTATACAAAACAAAAACACTATTTATTAAAATGTAAACATATTTGCTATAGATACAAAATGTTCAGTGCAGATCAGAACACTTACAAAATATTAATGGAGCCATAATCTCAAGGACGTGTCGTTAATAATAATAATTAGAATATTATAATGGTGCCCAACAGCCAGCTACAGTATGTGTAGAAATACCTTTGCTTGTTTCCATTGTAATTTGTACGATGAAGAATTACATTACAATTTGTTTTAAATATATGTTGATGAAGGTAATTAAAATACCTTGTAACTGTTTAAAAGTTTTCTAGAATATAAAACAGTTAAGCTTTTTAATACTATCACATAAGAATGAGTAAACTTTATATTTTCTTTCTTTTAATAAATTATTTAAAATACTTGTTGATAGTATTTAACTGAAATGAAACGTCGGGTCGTTGGTAATATAAATTAACTATAAGTTTTGGCTTTAAAGGTGACTTTTTCACTCAAATGACAAAATTTACTTATCATGTGTTAAATAATTTTTATCGCTTGGATTTATATGAGAAATGAGTTACGGAAAAATCTTTCAGCATATTTGCTTTCATAACACATTTTAAAGAAGTATAAAAATATTTAATTTTGTAAATAAACGTACGATATCTTCTATTAAATTGTTATTAATGTGAAATCCGTGTACTTTAAAAAGTAAGAAATAAATATGATCACAAATTTCATATATTAAATTCAATACGTGTTCAACCACCAGTAGCCATACGAACAATACGTGACTGTATCCAATATGTTACCACTTTCTAGTAAACTCGAATAAATTTAATGGGAATGATAATTATATACAGTCCTCAAAACATCATGTGTTTTAAAATAAAGCCTTTTTTTAAATTTAGTTTGATTAGTAGCACACTTTCGATTTTTACAGCGTAGAGGACTTCCACAATATCGTAACACAACTATTTTACACAATATCGGCTTTGCAATATATAAAACAAATTTATGGACTTTTTCACATTATGAAACCTTTTCACAAATGAACCCCCGCTCTCCTCTCAACCCATAAACAGAATGTAGAGCTAAGTTACAAAACACTATTGCGTTAAAATTGTCTATGAATGAATAAAATCAATAAATCTACGAAATAGTGTCGTGCCGTACGACAACGCGGCCGGGCCGCGGCGCGTGCTAGAGACGTGACGGAGTGCCACGCGGCGCGAATAACCGCCCACTTAATGAGCACGTGTGAAGGAGCCTTTATAATACGAATAATATATTATCTGTGCTAATATAAAGCTGAAGAGTTTGTTTGAACGCTCTATTCTTTTTCGACTTCGAGGAATCGAGGAAGGCTTTAGGCAATAAACCATAACGCCGCAACCTCCTCTTGAACGAAAAAACAGTGGAAAATGTGGAAAATATCGTCTTAGAGGGTTCCGTTGCGAATATAGTGTATAATTTATATGGATGAGGAAGAGGTTTGTAACCAAGTCTCTTAGATAGCTAGTTGTTAATATTATCATTTAGTGTACAGTTTTCATCTCATTTGAGTTCTTAAAGAACCATTTGAGTCTTTCAAAATCAAGGAGAATAGTAAGGGTGTTTTAAAAAAAAATTGCTATTATTTTATTAACTGATACCAACTTTTACACGTGCCTGAGTAAAGAAGTGATTTTTGACAGCAAGGAAAGACTTGACGTCGGGCTGTAATTTAAAAAAATCTAACGAATTTTAACAAATATATATTGCGTCTTTAACCGTTAAAGTGTTTTATATAAAGGAAATTGTATTAGGTCTTTTCCAATTAAATCATCAATATATAATAGGTACCGTTTGTCATATGATGTAGCGGGATTGAATATTCCTCACACTTAGAAACTTGGACCCACAGTTAGAAGACGATCTTAGAAAAAACCTTACGATAGCTGTATCGAGCGACTCTCTGATTACGTTTAAAAATTATTTTATAAATTCCGTAAACTGTCTACGGAATAATCAGTCCAAAATGGTTTTATGATATGAATACTTGACCCAATATGGCATTAAAATGATTCTCGTCAAACCTTTGAGGCTATCAACACATCATGCTAGGCCAAGAGTTACCATAAGATGTCACCGCAACGAAAAAGTCCATCACAAATCCTGCATAATTTCTCAATTTGTAACACGCTCAATCGCGCAAATGATACCTTTATAAACGGAAACTAATCCTTAAACGGCTGCCTTAACAATCATTTCATTTTATGGTTTTTCTTGTGATCTAAAAAACGTCTACGACGCACGCGCGCGCTCCTCGATACGAACGCGCAAGGCATCTTAACACGATAGACAGAGATAACGATACGAAGACTACGCGGGTTAGAGTGAGATAACTGTACAGTTAACGGGGCGTTTTGAAGCCGAGAATGTAGTCAAATTAGGAGAAATAAATATCAGCGCTGATACAGAACGGAATATTTGATACGGGTTTGCAGTGATGCGTAATTTTCTAATGTAATCGGATTTTATCTCGAAACGACCGTCTTTACATGGAAAAGAATTTAAGTAGGACTTTAATGTTGGTAAGCTTTGCCTTATAAATGGATATGCTTTGATAAGTATCATATATACTTACATAATCCTGATAGACTCGAGTTACATTTTATTTTGTCTTCTTATATGATCTTATATAAATGGATAATAGTTAATTGGCGACTTTAATTATTTATTCTGCTTAGTTATTTACTATATATTATTTTAGAATTTTTCGATAACACACATTTTTCATAACATTTTTAACTTAGTTGTGATGTGAAATCATGTATGACGTCGTCAATAGCAATAACAAATTCGCCTAGAAACATATTTATTTGTACAGCAGTGCTAAGAAATATCTCGACGGTTATAAAACTTTCGCCACATAGGACTTTTTGTGATTCCGAGAACTGGCCAGGGGAATAAGAGTGCAAAGCTGCCGAAATCCATAAACTTACCTTTATTCGGCTTTGGAGGTTTATATTGGCGGAAACGAAAATATTATCCCAACCTACCGTGTGGTCCAAGTTACGAGAGACGGCATTATTGTTTCGTGTAAAATACTTATATTACATAAAGAATAAATAAATAAACATCATGACTTCTTTTACCTGAGACATTTGACTTGAAAGGCGTGAATACTTAATATTATAAAGCTATATGTATATAAAATATTATGAAGAGTTAAGGCTATAAACCATCAGGCTGTGACCAATAGGGGCAAAGAAGCAATAGGAAATATGAGAAAATTAGAAAAAAATATTTTTCTAGAAAACGGTTTTGTATACCCACAAAGTATGTATGAAAAAAATATTCTTCTTTAAATAAACTAAAAAATGTCGTGCGGAGAAATTTTTATGGCAATCAAATATGATTGATGAATACGTCATATAGCAAAAGAACTTTTGCCAGTTAGTCTTACATAACGCTAGATTGAAATTTTACGGTATCATGAATCGCTTGACCGTCCTAAGCTTATACCTTAGAACCCCCACGTATCTACAACTCCAAGTAATAAACTGTTGTTCCTAAGCCTCCAGCAACACATTGTGACTAGCATAGCACCGCCTACAGGCATACCTTTTAGTGCATAATCTATTTTATGCCCTGCAAAAAGTGCACACACTTCGAAGTATGCATTGTACGTTTTATGTTGCGTCTGAAGACGCTTTAAGATCTGAAAATTTGCTGGTGTTTTTAGGGCTATTTAGCATTATGGGCTGCTATTTCAAACATGAGCAAGACGTCGTGATATTAGAATGGGTAGTTGTGTTGATTCTTGGCTTTTTACTGACGAAATCCAGATTTTTTAATGATGGATGAGGGCAGATGTAGCGTGGGGTTCACTCGATGGTAAGTGATATACCCCAGCCTATAGGATCTAACCAAGATGCGCCCAAAGACCCGGGCGGAATTCCTACCACCCGTTTCATATCCAGATTTCCGGATGAAGTCCAGCTTTCCAGCAGTCATGTTTGAGAAAAATTTAAAAATTAGAAACATGTTGGACCTGGTCGTGATCGAATCCACGACCCGTTGATCAAGCCCGTCAATTTTTATTCTCACTAAAAATAATATAACAGTTTTTAAAAACTATTAATATCCCCTTCTGGATAGTTGATGGCCGCTTACGAAAATAAAACAACCCGCCAGCCACCGGTCACTGGTAAGAAAAGCGAACGTAAAAAACGACAAAAATGTCCGCGCATTCGTAATCGAAATGCAAAAAAAATATGAGAGAGAAAGCCATATACATGTTCCTCTGGATAGAGTGGAATGGCGAAAATTTAGAATGCAACGCGTGCTGTGGACATCCGTCGCAGTGAAAGAGAGCCGCTGCCATCTATCGGCAGTTTGTGACACTAGGCCCGCAAGATTTCTATTTTTTACGAATTTGGAGGTATTCCTTAATTGACGTTTACAATATAGGGTTTTTAATAACCAGTATAACTTACAAACAAAACGGTCCTTAAAAACATAATACATGGTTTCGGTCGGATAGAGCACGGAATCAACGTTTATAAGTAAAACATTGTATATTTCGAAATGGTCTATGTAAAAATATGTAGACAACACATGATTTTGAAAGTCTAAAAATATGTTTTATGTCTTCACTGAAATTTAAAAAAAAATAGAAAGAAAGATGGTTTTTTTAAACTAAGTGTTAGAAGGCCCATAGTGTTTGTTTAATAATAACAATTATCATCAATTTTACAAGCCACATAACAAAATTGTTCACCACAGATAAAAATAAATCCGGGCACACATCATTAAGCCGATCACAGATCTAATTGATAGAAGTTGGACCACCGCGTGTCATAACACGTTTGATGGATGGAAATTATTAGCTGCTTATCGTTGCGTCACTATTTTTATCTTATTTGGCTTCTGTTCTTTACTAATTATAACCGTCTGCAACATACGAAACTTATTTTTAACTAATTGCTATTTGAATTAAAAAATAATTAGTTTGTTTTTTTTTTCAAAGTAACTTTTTTATCTAAGAAAAGGGATTGTATTTTCCTGCAACCAGTTATAAAATTGGAATTCTTCCCGATATGTATATTTTTTGTTTAAATAGTATTACATATATTGGTTGGCTTATGTCCTCGGTAAAGCAATAATCATTATTAGTAATAATTGTTGTTAATATACATTATATATATTTTTTTCATTTATACTTATCGACCATGTAAAATGTCACTTAAACTTCTGAAGTAGATTAGTTTGTAAAATCCAATGTTGGTACTAAATGCATGATAATTTTCTGACTCTACCCAAAACCTGTGTGATTGATTCGTGTCATCAAACTTTCGAAAATAAGTTCAAATCTCCATCACACTTAATGACCTGTCATTTATAAACGATATCATAAACAGAATGGGACCTTTTGGGTGGGTTTCCAAATACTTTTTACGTTTTTGTTATGAACAGGTGCTGTGCGAGATTACGATCGCGCCATTACGATTTGCAATTTAAAAAGTTATTTCATGTCTATGGCCCACGTCACTTAAGAAGTGACATTTGACATATTACTGTTTGTTGGTGCCGAATTGTTGAATTAAGTTGAACCCACCTTTTTTGAGTATATACTGTACCACAACAGTTTTACAAATGCGTTTTACTAAATAAATTATTTTATTTTTCTTTTAATAGATAAAAACATAATAATATTAAAAAAACTTGCTGGATCAACTAGTATTTTTTACTTTGAACCGACTGAACATAACAGTTATAATTGTTACCAAGATGAGAATTTCCAACTATTTTAGATTTTTATTATCATAACATTATTGTGAAAAAATTAAAACAAAAGGTCATTGGCCAGTAGTATACGATAAAAGCCTTATTTGGTGGCAGTATAAGCGGTGCTGTGACGTGTCTGGCTAATGGAAATCGGTAGTCCGGTAATAAAATGCCGTTAATCTACCAATGAGACTGACCAAAGATAATTATAGAGTGAGGAAAATAAAACTAATTCTTATCCTAATATTTTAAAACGAATGTATTGCTTAATTTTTTTCCCCACTACTATACCGGGTATCTTGTACACATATGAGGCAGCTAGAGGCAGAGTAGCCTAACTGCGATTTTAATGGCTTGAGTTATTCATATTTTCTTAGTCTAAAAATGGTATAATATATAATAGTTTAATTCATTTTCCCCTAAGTTCATCGCGCCTTTTTATTTTTCTCCTTATTGAAAATCATGTTTTTTGTTGTAAGGCCACTCCGCCTCTAGTAGCTTCATATATCGTTGTTCATTTTGGTGATTTTTCAATTTCATATCAGCAAAAATGTTTCGACATGTTAAATTTATTAAGAACATCGATAAAGACTGCAGTATCGTATTCATACAACACTATAGGAAGCCTTTCCCTGGCATTTGTCAACTTGACATTTGACATCACTCAAGTTAGCGATGTTACCTGCTATACGGTTTTTTTTTGATAAGGCAATAATTCATTTGAGATTGAATTATGCTTAACTGGTGGCCTATATTTTATTATATATTTAAAAAAAATTTAACACAAATGTTAATTGATGTTATATTTTATGCGATTAATATTTATATAGCAAACACGGTCTGCCATAAGCAAAAGAATTCTTTGTATGACAGTCAGAATTTCACGATTAGGTAAAAGCATTTTGATCCTAAAATTATTATCATATACCTTTAAATAAACACAACATCAGCTGTTATTCTTAAAATCAAATCATTCTTTCATCTCTAAAGTAAAGTTGTTTGTTTTGCCAGTAGCAAGTAGTGTCGCTTTGATTAATATCCTTAAAGATTGTTTACTCCGTCGATAATTCCTCTTACAACCTTACACTTTCTTGCACATCCAAAAGTCAACCTTGAGAGACGAATTTTAAAGTCCAAAACGACTTACCAGTTCCCTTCGACCAGAACATCACGTAATTTATGAGTCGCTCACTGAAGGTGCTTTATAGTTGTTTGATAACACTCTATCGTGATTATTTAGCCAGAGTTTGTGACAGGCGTCTATTTTGTTTTGTATAAACCTCTAATGTTACGCTCAAGAATTTTATCTGAACATTGTCAAGGAATATTAGTAATGATCGTGCGCATATCGTTCGCATACATTGATAGAGTAGTCTGTGAGTCCGGCTTCTGTATGGTCTAACGTTTGTTTTCTATGTTCCAGGTAAAAAATGGCGTTCGTTAACCCCGCAAGATCGTCGGCCCTACGTAGAGGAAGCTGAACGTCTACGAGTGATTCATATGACGGAACATCCGAACTATAAATACAGACCACGGAGGCGAAAGCAGAACAAGGCGAGGCCGAACCAGCCCTCCGCGCCAGCTAGTGCGCCGCCGTCCGCGACAACTGCCTTAGGATCTCCGTACGCAACGGCCACTGATTCGCCAGATACTCGCTTCTCTCATAACCCTGGAGCCGGCTTTTCCCCGTACCGAACCTCACCCCTTGCATCTGACTACCAAACAAACCAATATAATGGCCACGTTCAAACTCCCGAATCTTCGCCAGCTCGCTCCCCTGAGCCTCAAGGAAGACGGAGCGCACCGGCCGATGGTGCTCCAGGCATCGGCACTCCTGACGCGTCTCCTGTAGAGAACGAAAAAGAAAATTTCCAGTACGAAGAACGGCGGAGGGCGATCAATGCTTCGTCTCTTTCTGAATCATATTCGTACAAGTCCTTCAGATCGACAGGTTCGTTTTCGCCAGCGCCAGTCGCCGCAATGGGCATGGCGAATGGGATGTATGTGATGTGTGCTCAGAGATCTTTAGCTGAACAGCCGCCCCTTGTCACTGGAACATTCTTCCCGCCAGTTGCAACCTCGCAGGACCAGCAAACACTTGGCGCAACCGCTCCTAGAGTGTCTTCCGCACCGAGCGGTCCGATGACAACTGAGTACAGTATTCAGTACCATCCCTACGAACAGTATGAGCAGATGTACAAAACTGAAGATTCCTATGTCTCTCATTACCCGGAGCAACCGAAAACCGAATACGATACTAGTGGAACTTACTTCGCAGAGGAACCGCCGAATCAGGCGCAAGATAACGAGCAAGGCTTCATTCCGCGTTCGGAAATCCGCACCGGCTCCCCGGAATCTGATGTAGATGCGCGGGAGTTTGATAAATACTTGGAGTATAACGCCGAGGGCATGGAGCAACATCAGCAATACCGATATGAACAACAACAATATAGGCCGTATTGCCCGGAGCAACCCCCAGCCCAAGAATATTGTACGGAGAGGATGTACCCCTCTCCGTACGCGTCGGTGATAGCGGGGACTCCCCCGTCGGGGCCTTACCCCCCGGCTGCTCCAGGTATAACTGATGCTCGTCCTGATGATGAATTCAGCGTAATCTTAGCTGGAGTAAGGCAGACTTGTTACAGCAATTGACTAGGCCTCCGATATGATTAGATCAAAGACATTTTAGTATGACACGTTATAAAAGACGCATATAACTGTGATGCATATAAAACTGACCTGTTAAAATATTCAATGTTTATTTTCGTAATAGCGATAAATGGTGCCTACGCAGTTGTATGTTCCTAGGTTGTTATTAATGAAATTGTATACATAGTTTGCCGTCAAGTGCCTTAAAATTAAATCTTTAAGACTTGTAACACCTTTATAACTCGACGTTATGTTTTATTCCCTTGAACATCTGCACTGTATAACTATGGCTTGACCGTGACGAAATTTGTATGAACACAACTTTGATTAGATTAGTGATAAAAACAAAGATTTTATTTCTTATTGATGAGTATTTGCAAGATGATTTTGGAAATTGTTGACTATAATATTTAAGTGGTCCACAGTTCTGAAATTCTGTACTGCCAACAACAAATTTCCCTGCGCAAAGGCAGTTTGAATAAGAATGGATATGTTATTTTCTGGAATTTTCTAAATGGCCATCATTAATGGTGCTAATAAGTCGCTAATATTTTTATACGATATTTCTGTACTATTGCGGATTAATGATATAAATATTGTCCTGTGTAAAAATTATTTATTTTTATCTACACTGTATATTTTAATTAATTAATAATATAGATTATTATTCAGAATCTGTTCTTCCATAAGCCTGTAGATATAGGATAAGAATAATATTTAGTTTTAATGTTTTTTCTGTATAAAACGGTTAAATATCTCATAGATTGTATTTTTAATTAGTTAAAACGTTATAGGTATATGCGAATCATTAGTTTTAATTGAGCACTGCGATAAGTTCTTCCTGATTGTAAAATTTATTAAACAATAAAATTATATTCCATATAATGTTTCTTTTCTTTGATTTCCTCTAGTCATCGGATCTAAATGGGAACCTATGAATATTAGTGTTATTCTATAGAGTAGAAGAGATATCCCGAAGTTATACCTAACTGAAAAGGGCTATCACACTTGAAGACGAAAATGGTCTTTTTGAGATTAGAATCCACAAATTGTCTTTCTAATTAGAACGGATCGGTACCCCGTCAGACATAGTCTTTCCTTTTGTTTCTGTCGTTATCGAAGAAAATATATTAAAATTGTATTAGTTACAACAAATAAAATATTATCAGAATGAAAGTGCTGAAACAGATATAAAAATAAAATTAAATAGTGTAGTGTAGTGTGTATGTTTTAAGGAACTGAAAACACAATTTGGTTAATTAGAGGTATCTCTATCATTGCATTAAGCACGAGAGGTCCCAGGTTTAAATACCGATTAAACATTTAATTGTTTCGGTCAAGCAGGGCCCAGAAGCCTGATCGACTATAGATAAAATCGATTAGCAAAACGGACACAAGTGTGTTCGGCTCGTGCCTTGACAAACTTGATTTTACTATTTATTTTATTACATAAAGAAAAATTGCCAAGACAAGCTGATAAATAAACTGCAAGGCAGGAAAGCAGTTAGGTATTTTAATGAACTAACATCGTGTCAAGACTCGATTTCTAGATATAAAGCTTCAAGTGTTTAACAGGCCTGTGTAACCGAATAATCACTAGGATTGCAATCTAAGATTTTTTATAATAGAGTTTGACAGAAAAACATTTGGTTCATTTGATGGAAGGTCAAATTTCCTAGCAATATAAACTTTAAGCCAGATGAGGCGTCAACATAACTTTGCATTTTCCCTCAAATTTCAACAGGTTCATTTGTGTATAGCAAGGGAAATCAACGGGTTGTGGGTTCGATTTCCATCGGATCTCACGTTTCTTAACATTTTTTTTCTGAAACATGTTGAAACTTCGTATGCAATCTAAACACTCAATGTCGAACGGGTCCGACATACGATGACGGCGGTCAGAAGCAGTGAAGTTTTTCGGTTTCAGTCTATGGATTTCCGAAAATCCAAAGCCAAAATAAGTTGACAGCGCATCTCGTATATTTATGGCTAACATGTTTCCTTCTACAGGTGACCCAACGTTCGTCCGCAAAAAAATAAAAAAAGAACAAAGCGCACACTGCTCTGTTCTTTTGAATATTTGTAATAATACAAAATTAGCGCATTGGCACATGGAATGATACCTCACACGTGCTCTAAACAGCGCAAAATCCAAATAAAATTAAAATTACTAAATAATGTCGGGGCCGCGGTGCGCGCCTGTAATTATCCGACCGCCGATCCGCCCCGCGCCGCATTGATGCATCGATGTGCCAAAGATACATAAGCAAACTGATTTACTGTTACCTTTATAACTTTATAAGCTTTTCAATTTGCAAATCAATATTATCTACAAATGTTTGAGATGCACACACGACCAAATATAACATAAAATAAATGTAATTGACATTTTTATCATTTAAATTCGTAGTCTGTGGAAATATTTCTCATTTAAAGATTTTGACAATTGACTACTTTACATTAAAACTCTGTCATTATTAAATATTATTATGTTATGAGAGAGATTGTATTTGAAAACAAACTATAATACTTACGGTAAATTAATAGTAAAAAGCAATTAGTTAGTTGGATGAATATAATAACATAATACTTTTACCAAAATATAAAAGAAATATATGTTTGAAAACATTATTTTTTTTTACATGTTATTGCACATGAAGGCACTATATAATTTAAAAATTGAAAAAAATTTCGTCACCCTGACGACGCCGGTTCAAGTGCTGCCCGAGTTTAATTTTCAATTTATTTTCGATTTTTAAAAGAAATATATGTTTTTTTATAAAAAAAACGCCGTGAATAATAGCGTAAAATATAAACGGGTCAACTTCAAGAAAAAAGGAAAGCTATTACTAAACTTAAAATTCGTTTTAGACATTTTTTTACTATGTACGGGAATCGAATCCACGACCACCAAGCTGTTGATTTACAGCTTACAAGGAATCTTTATTAAGAAGATATAATAAGCATCTGTTGGTGCTTTTTATAGCACGGTTTAAGACCCACGCGTGTCGTATTGCAAATTGTACAATTATTATTAGCCTTCTAAAATCAAAGGAGAGACGAAGTTGTGGGCAAAAGCTAGTTTAGTTTAGTGTACATCTCATTTTTCCCGTAATCTTTCTCTTTTTCCGTCTTGGGTTGTCAGGAAGAAATAGCTTGTTAGCGATAAGGTCGCCCCTTTCATATCTTTAGTATATAAGTTTCGTTTATGTTTTTGTCCTTTTGAGCAATAAAGTGTTAATAAATAAATATAATGCATAAATATTACCTGGTCAAGTGGTCACAGAATGTTTGCTAAATTCTCCATGAGGGGACAGGCCTTGAATAAAAACATAAATCACTAATTTCAAGTCTTCAGGTTCCCATAAAATACAACGCCATGGGTTTAATGATTTACGAGGTCATTACCCTTGCACATATACAGATGGAATTTGTAAGTGAAGTGTGTTATACTCGGAAATTGTTTTTGCGATAAATTATTTAGTTCCAACAGTTCGTACAGTTGACAATATTGGATTTGAAAATGCATATTTATTTTGAAACCTAAGGGGAATCACAAAATATAACAATTTTGAATTTAGAAGTGTACAATATTAAAGCACTAGATAGTAACGCTCGACGGAAGTAATTTCTAGAAAGAAATGAATGTAACGTCCATAAATTTTTATATTATATTATTGTTTGTTTGAAAGCGCTAATCGCAGGAACTACTAGTTCGAATTGAAATCTTTTTGTGTTGAATTGACCATTTACCGAAGGAGCCTTTATACTATAGAATAGAAGCGACGAAACAGTGGGAAATGCGGAAAAAACGGGAATGAATTATTCAACTTGAGGACTTCTGTTGCGTGTGCTGCAAAAATCGATCAAGACACCAATAATACCCACGACATGGTCCATTAACCATCTTTGAAGATAAACTTCCAAGAACGATGGGACGCGAACCATGTCGTGGGTACTAGATGTTAGTAATACTTATATAATTTTAAAGTATTTTTGATCGACTTTTGGTATTAAAAAAAAACGCATATGATGAAGTATGTACATAACTACACATTGACACCAATAAATTAACGTCATAATTGGCCAATTATAGATCTATTACAAATACACCTGCAACGTCTACAGCAAATTTTACGAGCACTTGCAATAGATAAAGGATAAAAAAGGTTTTAATGAAAATTTATATTTCTATGCTGTTTTAAAAAACGGTTAAGTTTTTTCATTTAGCAAACTATTTATAATTTGGATACGCAGTTTGCTTTTGAATTCTAATTTAAAGCGTTTTTTTCTTTATCATTTAATAGGATACCATGTTCAGACATCAACAGACAGACATTGCTCCCGAGCAAAAGCCCAAAACCCCTTTTTTGCCCCTTTTTTTCCCCCCCCTTTTAAAAATTTTTTTAAACCAAATTTTTTTTTTAAAGTACACAAATTAATATGTCAAACTTAATTTTGTCTTTACATGTTCATTGACATCAACAGACAGACATTGCCATTGCATTTAACAACTTCAGTTACTTCTGGTAATCTAGATAAGATTTTCAGAAGTCCAACGTTTTTTTTAAAATTTTAAATTTTAAAAATTTTTTAGACCGTGTGGGGGTCGTCGTTTTTTTTTTTAGATATTTATATATTTACAATTATAGAAAAAAGGGGGGGGGAGAAGAAATAAGTGGGGGGGGCACATATTGAAATCGCAGTCAAATACTGTCTGTTAAGTATGGGAGATATTACGCCACATTACCACATTGAAATCGTATCAAATACTGTCTGTAGTTTACGCGAGTAGTACATATTTAAATAAAACATTTTAACGGTTTAAAACGCGATATATATAAGTTTATTGATTATATTAAAATTATTTAAATATTACGCTACGCTAGCGCCATGCCACGATACGCAAAGCATCCGAAACATCGGGCCGTACTTAGTTAAAAATAATTTTCAAATAAGTTTAACGAATACATATCGCGTTTTATACCGTTAAAGTGTTTTAT